TACTTTTTAACTTTTCTTTTTTAATCTCCTCTTCTAATTCTTCAATTAAACATTTATATAATCATTCTCGTAGCTTTTTCTTTTTAGGTTTTTCCTTCATCTTATATATCATTTTCAATACTTCCTTATTACTAAAAACAAATTAACCTTGTAATTTGACTCTTTTACCTTTAATTCTTTTCTTTCAAGTCTTAATTACCTTCTGAATATTAGTAAACTGTTTCCGAAATAGGGCTATTTTAGTATTTTGAGATTCTACAAGTTTAGTTATTTTCTTAACATATCAACAAATTGATAATATAAGAGAATCATTATCTATTAAAGCTTGATTAAAGATTTGATTTACTTACCTTAACTCTATCCCATTTGAAGGAGAGCTCCTAAATATAAATAAATCTAGATCTTAATTAAAGGTTCTCATTTGTGGAGTAAAAGATTGCTAAGAGAAGTTAAATAATAATAAATCGAGTACTTTTTGTAAAGCAAAAGGTACTAAACTAGCTCCTTTTTAGCTAGCTTTAATATTAAAAGAATTCAGTGCTTTTTTTCTAATATTTTAAAGGAATTCTACTCATTCAACTCTTTGGATTTGTTTTATATTAGTTCAAGAATATCGATCGATCTTTAAAGTATAATATCATTTTATTAGCTTATATATTATAATATCAAATAATTAAAGTAAATAAAAGCAATAAAGAGATAATATAAGTAAATCAATATTCTTCTCTATATAGAAAATAATAAAGCTATTTGTAATATAACTTGAATAATTATTTATAATCAAAAGTCGAGATCGATTATCTAATATTTTCTTGAATTCTAATTCGAAAACCCTTTTTAATCATTTTAATCCATAATTGTTTGAGATCCATTTATTTATATTAATAAAGAACTATTAGCTTTAAGATATATCCTTTGAAATCTATATAGAATTTATATTCTAAGTCTTGAAAATAACTATAGGTGATAAAGCCTTTCTAATTGTATTAATATATTTAAATATAATTATTCATTCTTATTTATTAATTATAACTTTTTAATTCGATTTTTGAGTAAAATCGATTATAATATATATACTTTGAGTATTTCTAATTTCAAATCCGATTTCATTTATATTATATATATTATTTAATTTATACTTTTGTTTAATAAAACATATATGAAATGTATTAAACTAAGTCTGAATATTCTTCAATGTTGTTTCTTTAATTTGATTAAACTTTAATTGATATAAATAATAAATTTTAAATTCTGAATATTGTTTTTGAAATTTATAAATCTATTTGTAATTTATAAATGGAATTTCTATTGAGATAGGAATTTAAAATAATATAACCTGAATGTATTGAAGATGAATTTTATTAATTATTTCCTTTATTAATATAAATATAATAGAAAATTTAATAATAATAAGTTGTAAAATCCATTATATAAAAGTATTTTCTTTTACATTTGAAAGAATTTAAACTATTTCGTAGGATTAAATATATAATTTCCTTTTAATAATTTTAGCTATAAGAATTGATTTAGGAACTTCAAAATACTCTATAACCTTTCTAATTGATTTAAATTCCTTTAATTAAAATGTAATAATAACATTTTATATCTTTTTTTCAATTTGAAAAGATGTAAGAGGTGATTCGGTATATATAGTAAAATTTGTTGGGGTTTGAAGTTAGTAACGGGCTAAATATGATCCGGTTCCTTATATAATCTAGTTCATCATAAGTTATGTTATATAATAATAATAAAAGTATTATAAAGATTTTAATATTCAAAAGGAGCTTTTGTAAATTAGTTGATATTAATAGTATTGATAATTATATAGAGCTTTTTTTATACATAAAGTTCATATTAAATAATAAAAGTAATAAGATTCTAATTCGTATTTTACTTATTTGTTTAATTAATAATCCTCTAAAACCCTTTAATACAAATATCAGTAGTTTTCAATATAGCTATAATAATATCTATATAATTCATAAGTATTTACCATTATGAAAACAGATTAGTATTAATATAAAAAGGAATTTCGAAATGAATATAACATTTTTTATATATATTATAATATATATTCCTATTGATATAATAATAGGTATATTTCCTATATTCATAATACAAATTATATTGAGATTATAGAAAAATTGATATAGATATTTTATATAATATATGTATAGTGGATGTATAATTAGATAAGAATGAGAGGGTAATCTTTAAACTGTGATTTTCTTTTTAAGAGGTATAATAAAGAAATATAAATGGTTTTATTAATAAAAAGGAAAATGTTTGATTGAAAAAGAGAAATTTGAAAGAATATTAATAATTAAAAGGAAAAGCTTAAGGGGAAGAAATATTTGAGGGATATAGAGATTACAATTATTATATTATAATATAAAGAATAAATGAATTATATATAAAAAGTTAAATACGACATATTATAAAGGAAATTAATAAAGGTAGGATTTTTATAGAATAATAATAAATAGTAGTAAGATTATATAAAAAAGAGAAATAACATATAACGATATAATAATAAAAGAGAAATAGAATTCTATAATATCTTGAAATATATTTGTAGTATATATCATATTAATTTATAGATTGAAAATGAAGTATTATATTAATTATTTTTGAAAGTATAAATATTATAGGTTATATGTATGATTAATATAATAGGACTTTATTATAACAAACTCGAATAGGCTTTAAGGGGGGATAGGTTTTATTATTTTTCTTTATGTATTTCATATAATTAAATATATTTAAGTATATTATATAATTAGTATAGCTTAGCTATGGATAGATTAAACGATTAAGAATTTATTACTACTAATGTATATAATAATTTAATATAAATCAACAATTTTATTCCTTATATGAAATATCAATAAATAATTTATAATTTTACAATGTTAAAAAAACAAGTTATTATTTAATATATAATCGATATTAATTCGAGAGATTTCATATTTAAATACAAAAAGTAGAAGATATAATTAATTTTATTCTTAAATTTAAGAATGTAAAGAAGATTGAGAAGCGATAAGTATATCAATTTATAAAACATTATAAAAGATCAAAAATATATTTAAATTGCATTTTTAATTTTCAAAAAGCTCTTTAAAAATTCTAAATTTATTAAAAAATGATTTTGATTTTTTTTTGAATATATGAAATAAACATGATAATATTCTCGATTGTAATTCAAAGAATAAATATATCTTTTCAATTAGTGTATAAAAACTAATCTATTTATAGTTTATATTATTAAATTTATAAGTAATACGCGATTGAATAATAAAATATATTTAAAATAGTTAAAACATTTTGATAAATATATATTTAATAATAAAAAAGTAAATATTGAATATTAGTATTGAATGAATATAAAAGTTATAAATTCATATTGTAAAAAGAATTATAATATATATATATATATTTATTATTATATTCAAGTGATTAAACTCAGTCTTTTAATATTGATTATTTCATTATCTTAAAATGAAAATATAATATATAAATTGAAGGGTTTATAAAAGTATCTATTAATTATATTTCGAAAGTTGAATTCTTTATAGTTTTTAAAGCTATATATTAATAATTAATTGTATTTCAGAATATAAAATCCGAAATTAAAAATGTAGGAATAGTTTCATTTGATTTTGAAATAATACATTTTAAAATCAAATATTTGAATTTATATATTTATTTCTTTTCCTTTCGATTTAAATCTTTTAAACTCCTTATAATCTTATAGAAACTCTTTTTCAATTCATATTAAACAAATCTCAAATATTTTATTATCATTTATATTTATTTTTAATAGTATTTTAGCTTTAAATAAAAATATAAAGAGATTATTATATGAGAATATGCTTTTAGATATAGAAAATCATATACTTTGAAAAGCGAATAAAGCTTTAAATCGATATTGATGTATAAAAAAAACTCAATTATATTAAGGAGAAGTTCTTACTAAATAGGAAACTATAAATATTATATCTTAGAGAGAAAATGAAATTCAGATTCAATATGATAAATATTACAATGAAGGAAATTCAAATAAAAAAGAGACTTCTAATTAATACTATAATAAATATGAATTAATAGGGTATAATATAAGAATCTATTAAAATAATATAATAGATTCTAAATTATTAGAATCTTAATAATTTCAATTAATTGATTTGATACTTATTAAATAATATGATTTTGAAAGGTAAATTAAGATGAAAGTAGTCTATATAATCATATAACTTTTATACTAATAAACTACGTTATATAGTAGATGATAAATCATAGATAATAAATAGTAAATGATAAATAATAGACAATAAATAGTAAATGATAAATAATAGATAATAAATAGTAAATAATAGACGATAGATAATAAATAAATATTAAGTAAGAAGTACTTGAATAATAAGTATTTAAATACTCGAGTATATGTTTTAAATATCTCTTCTTTCTTTCTAATATAAATAATTTATATTCAATAATCATCTTCGTAATCTACTATTAATAACATAGTAAATAAACGAATATATTTGGAGAATCACGAACTTGTATTCTTTCAACTATTAATCTATCTTGACCCCCTGTTATAAAAACAAATATACACAGACAACCATTCAGACCACGTACTACTACAACCTCGCCTCAGCACCAAAAGCAAAGTCTCAGATAAATATATACTTTTATTCATTCATAATTACATCTCATCTAACATTATCGACATCAAGCATCTAGCCCACCCTAATCCAAACCTCCAAGTATGCATACATGTCATCATAAATGCTTCACAAACTCCAAGCGCCAGCTACCCAATCAACCACCCCAAACCGATGCCATATCTCTTTCCCCGGGTATAAAAATGCATCTATCCATCTTTCTATGATACATTCTTCCATTCGTTCGTCTGGGTTCGAAATCTTCACATCTCTAGTCTTTTCGTATAAACAAGTCATCATGCATATTCGTTGCTTCACAAAACAGCGAATCTAGAAGTTCCTCGCAGGAACGACAGGCTCAGGATTGTATCTTCCGTGTCCACTACTTTCCGCACTCCCATAGGCTCTTTGTTCATCGGCAGCTCCATGATATCCTCTCTGCCTACTCTCAACATCCATCGCCATTGCCATTTCGGCTTCGGTATCTTTGCTCTGGTAATGTTTTGTTCTGATGGCGGGGATGAAATCGATGGCGAAACTCCAAACGTAGAATGTGTAAATCAATGCGATGATCCATTCGAGGATTGCAGCAGTGTTCCACAAAGATTTACGGTTGCAAACGCCGAATCCGATAGCGAGACCTAATTCGACGAAGATAAAGGTAAGTTTGACCCAGAAGGAGATGCGTAGGACGCTGTGTTCCCGGTAGTGGATTCCGAGACGTTGGTATTCCCAACAGATGAAGATGGCAGCAAGGATGTAACCACCACTCAGAAATTGTTAGTTCACTCTCCATGTGAGGGTGAGGAAGGAAGTAACTTACATGAAAATCGCCAAACAAATGTCGTGTGCAGTGTGGTGGTTGACATCATTGAGACAAGTAAGACAGATCAAACCGATTCCACCTGCAACGGAGAAGGCAATTGCAAGGCCTGATAGTACTTTTTGGAAGACCGAGGTATTCCCATGTAAACGACCATTATGTCGTAACCATCTCTCTGCAATAAAAACCATATTGAATGTCACCATAGTTACGGTACCCATGGCAATAAAGAGTGGTTGAAGTTCATGCGCTCCAATATCTGAAATATATCTGCGTGACAATGTCAGGATACCTCTTCGAAGCTAGAATGAATGAAGAGAACTTACGCAATAGTTTGACCATTATCCATGGGTGTAATTATTGGAGAACCATCTGCGACGGTCCAAGTCAATAGCATGGCTAAGAGCATTGCAAGCCATACCATTCCTGAAAAGACAGGTATCATCCAATATGATATTCCGAACATTTTGATGAATTCTATGTGGTTGCCGCCGATTGGGAAGAGGTATTTGGTTGATTTGGGGTTGATATTGTGATTGAATCGAATTTTGATATTTTCGCCTCTGAATTCGAATCTCCAATCGACATATGAAGGCGCTTCGATATTGGGCAGACGAGATGAATGTGAAATAGGAGCACGAGCAAATAAAGCAGCAGCTTCTCAGGGTTTACCTCGAGAAGATGGACTGAACACAGTTTATTGGAACAATTGAGGTTATACAGATTATCCAAAAAGACAATACCAGACGAGAGAGGATCGAAAGACGAAAGACGAAAGATAGAAGACGAGAAAAGAGAAGAGGAGAAAAGAATAGAAAAGAAAAGGAAAAATGGAAAAGTCTCAGCACACTTTGCGCATTTCGCTAACTTACCTACATTACATTTTATTATTTACAAGCCAAGGTCACCGAATCTCCATGACCATTTTGCAATACAATACACGCTAAACGTCATAGTTCTCAATCCAGTCATCCGGTGGATCCGTGATGACCTTGCCTGGCGCTGCCATCTCTTGCTTGCTTACTTTGTACATTGCTTTGATGATTGATTCAACCCAGAATCTGGTGAATCTGGTGAACCTGGTGAATCAAAATGGAGTGAGGGGATGGAATGATGGAGTGATGGGGTTTGGACATTGATGAGTCCACAGTAGACTGTACCGTGGACTGTAGTCTGTGGAAAGGCCTTTACGGAAAAAGAGTAGTCATCACCGAAGAGAGCTGGAGAGATTTGAAATCATAATCATGATCATAATCACAATCATACATATAAGTTATCCCTAGTAATCTTACATATAATCATAATCATACAGATATATCTAGTAATCTTACATACCAATACCTCCTCCTTTTACCCACTGCCTCGAGACACACTACATAGCCATCGATCGATCGGCTATTACCTCTGTGGCTTTTCCCCTAGTCGTAATCAAAAAAAGCCTCATCTGAAAAATCATCGAGTTGTCAGTAACCCGTGAACTTTGGCTTGTACCTTCCTTAAGTGAGTGATGAAATCACAATCACGTGATATTCCTCTGATGTTATTAAATTGTTGCACATCTAACTTGGGCGTATCCTCGCGAGCCTGGTTAATGAATGAATGATGTGTGAATTACAGAGTACCCAACCCTAAAAGCTAAGCCGATAAAAAGCTCACCGGGAGGAGCTCAATTAGAATGGTTAAAGCCTATAGAGGCCCATGAGAGCCTAGGAAGTGTCGGTAGGTATACTCGAGTATATATTAAACAAGAAAGAAAAAGATGAACAGAGAGAAGTTATTTCTATTCATTCATTCATTCATTCATTCATCAATAGCTAGAAAAGAGATTTTGATACTCACCTCTTCCAAGCAGCGGTTACCATCAATCTCTATCATCCATCACATCAAATCAGAGATCAGATCAGATCAAATCAAACCAAATCAAATCAGAGATCAGATCAGATCAAATCAAACCAAATCAAATCAGACATGATACCAATGTGTTTCTAGAACGTTTCAATCTCTCACAACTATCTACTCACCTCCCCACCTACCTACCTACCTACCTACAATCTTACCACCAGTACGTCTTTGAAGGATCCAGTATATGAGATGCTACTTATCGGATACTTACCACTTATCGTAGATTTCATGATACAACAATACCTCCAGTTTGATGAAAGGATAACACAAGAATAAAAACTCCCTCTTGATTACCCAGATGAAGTGATTATTAGGTAGGAAGACTTGAATCATTTGGATACCGATCAGACACCAGGCAGCTTCAACCACAACACAGTGCGAAAGTATTTCTCTAGGTCCAGAATACGAACATACCTATCATCATTGAAAATAATAAAACTCCGTGTAATTTCAACTACAGATAAGTACCAAGTAGATATATCAAAATTCATTCGCTCCCTCTGCCCAAATCCTTCATGGAAATACAATACTAGCTACTCAATCACCACGCTATGCAGTCTAAAATAATCGAGTTCTCATCACCTCATCCGTAGCCGAGTCAGCCACTTTAATCCATCGTGCCATCACGCGAATCATCTCATGATATCGACCTCAACAACTCCGTCCAATGTCTCATGATATCATTGGATACAATTTTTTTACAACTTCGCGGTCAACTTCTCCCCCTTGTGAATGCATGCTACGGCATCGCCAACCAATTCATCAACAACCGCCTTGGCACTCTTCTTCTCATTGACAACAGCAGCCGCCTTACCCATCAAGAAAGGTCGTGCGTTATCCATAGTCTCATCATCAATATCATCACCGAGAGTCTCGAAGTCATGTTCGACTGGAATAACACCCTTGGATGTGAGTTCCTTGATCTCGGCAGCACGGTTCTCTTCCCAGTTCTGAATGTAACTGTTGGTTCGTACTCGTAATGGTCTACCAGTGAAGATGATAGTTCGAACATTGTCATCATGACCTGCGGTTCTCACAGCCTCTTGATGAGCTTTTGGTGCACCAGCCTCATCGGTCAAGATGAATCTGGTGCCAACCCAAACGGCACTTGCGCCCAACATTAAAGCTGCGGCGACAGTTGCTCCGTTGAAGATACCTCCTGCAGCGACAACTTGAACGGGCTTTCCGCTCATTGGACTGGTCTTTCCCTTGCAGAGTTCGACAACTGCTGGGATCAAGACCGTTGTAGGGACATCTCCAGTGTGTCCACCACCTTCTCCACCTTGTGCGCAAATAATATCAACACCGAGGTCGAGGCATTTCTTAACATGTTTTGGGTGCCCGATCATGTTGGCATAAAGAATACCAGCTTTATGTAGTCGTTCAACGACATGTTTTGGTGGTACACCGACGGCGGAAACAAAGAGTTTGGCACCGCTCTCGATGATAATGGTAATGAGCTCGTCTAATTTTCCTTTGGTATAATCGTAGCTAGAAAGAAATCTTGTCAGCTACTATGCAATAATCCGAGGACGGGGGCTGTGGCAGAGAAATTGGTGGCAAAGGAGAAAGAAAGAAATATAACTCAAACTGACTTTGTCTTTCTCGCAGATCCTCCAACTTGTGGGAGTAAGAGATCAACCCCAAAAGGAGCGTTTTGATCATCCAAAAATGACTTGAGTTCCGCGATTTGCTCTCTTAACATATCCGGAGTGTATCCGATACCTCCTAGAACACCAAGACCACCAGCATTTGTGACAGCAGCTGCGAGTTTAGGTCCGGCAGCAACGTTCATTCCAGCGAGGATGATAGGATGGTTGATCTTGAGAAGATCAGTGACCGTTGTGCGGATTTGTTCTATAGGAAAGGCCAGTCAGTTGTTGATTCCTTTGACATTCGGCATTGTTTTCTAGTTGGCATGTGATGGCTGGTGACTTACGTTTAGAAGCCATGATTGCTATGTTCTTGTTTATAATGATATGGCTCTGTGTAATAGATTATGAGATGAAGATATAAGATTTCAGAAATGATCAATCAATAGTGAAGGGTATTATGTTGTGAAAGAAGAACAGGCGGATTATTTGAGGAGATTCTTACAGACCTCGGAACACTGGATCCTCCAAAAAGAAAGGATTCATCTGGGGTAAAAGTCCGGTGTAATAAAAAGATGCCTCGGTTTGACTGTTAGCGTCGGGTTAGCCTTTTCTTGGACCTGCATGCATGCACGTGCGATGTTTCCAGTATGCGTCATGTTGAAGAATGGAAACGGGAATTCTTAGCAAGCTCATGTATGAAATGGTTAATTCTATGTGTACATTGATGTTGTTTTATATCATCTTCAGGCGTCATGATTCAATATGTTTTTCCTATCAACGCCTGGTATCCTCCACACACCGAACATAAGATTCTCGGCTCAAGATTGAATATCATGGTCATCACATTATATTAAGGATCCTTAGAACTTTCAAAATGCGCCGTGGTCCGCGAATACGGTAACCCATTCGACCACTATCAACAAAGCTGCTTCTTTCAAACTTCAAGTTTCTTCATCCGATTAGATCATCTATCTATATCTCCAAGGAAGAGATAATACTACACCGATGAGGGGCTCTCTATTATCATCCGTGGTGAGACGGAGTGTGAATTCACCACGGCCGCTTATCAAAAGACCTTTCCAGACAATTTGGACGGTCAAGAGCTCTGCTTCTTTGACATCTCGAAGCTATAGCTCCGACAGTGCGGTCTTATCAAAACTTCCATGGACCCAACATCCTCTTAGTACCAATTCACCTAGTGAAAATGATGCGACACAGCTTTCCAAATCTCAAAGTCAATCTCGACTTGCATACATTGCTTTGGGCAGTAACTCTGGTAATCGAGTGAGATGGATCGAAATGGCTTGCAACAAAATGTCAGAGAGGGGTATCAAAGTTAAGAGAACTAGTAGTTTGTGGGAAACCGAACCCATGTACGTTCTTGATCAACGGAATTTCCTAAATGGTGCTTGTGAGGTGAGTTCTACTTTCGCATTGATTTGGCGTCAATTTATACCACGTGATCATGCATATTGTAGTTTTGGAACTGTACACTTTTGAATGTCAAATTCAAGGTTAGATGAAACAGGTTCATCAAAGCCCCGAAGATTTCCAGAAATTTAGCTAACACGAATCAATAGGTAGAAACTACTTTGGAACCGATTGCTCTATTAGATGAGCTTCAAGCGATTGAAAATGAGATGGGTCGAATGAAGATTATCGACAAAGGCCCAAGAAATATTGATCTTGACATTCTACTTTACGAGAATGAGGTTGCAGATCACCCAAGGTTACAAATACCTCATCCTGGTATGGTTGAGCGCGAGTTTGTCTTGAGACCACTGGCAGAGTAATTCTAGCCCCTCAAATCTATTGAATATTTGTCGCTGATTTAGTTGTAGGCTTATTCCTGGACAACCTTTGAATCCGAAAATTCCATGGAAGTTTACCCAGGATTATCTAAATGAATTGCCGCCATCCCCGACCCCTTTATCTACCATAACTCCATTACATCCATCAATTGGTTCAT